GCCTGCTATTCTACTGACATGAGCACAAAGAGAAAGGATTCCTCGTGCCAGTTGGGATAGAGTCTGGGTCGGGGAAGGGAAGAAAGCGAGATTCACCTAAGGACCTACACAATTTCCAGACGGGCAGTCAGCGGGCAGGTGGGTGCACTGTTTCTAGTGCTGTCGGTTAGCCAACCTCTCTCTGGCACCTTAAGGTGAAAATAAAGGATGTAAACTAATACTGTTTTACTAGCTTGGATTGTGCTGGAAATCTTAAATTCTGAATTCACTTCGTCCCTGATTGGCAAAGTCCTGTTCATGTGAAAGACATAAAATGAGAATAACTGTTCTACCTCAAAGCTAACAGAGAAAGAACCTGTCTGCCAGCCTTACTATAGGTCCCTGTCGGGCCCCTCAGGGTCTCCAAGGTGGCCTGGGAGGTGTCCAGTGTGGCATGTAATGGTTGTTTCTTTGCTAATTTCCTTTGTGGCATTTCCTTTCAGACCTAGATAATTGAGTTACTTTCATTATCATTATTTATTATTATTCAAGCTTATTTGGGGCACTCTAGTATTTCAATGAAGAAAATAAATTCTAGCAAACAGTCCCCTCTGGAGAGATTGTTGTTTTAGATATCTGACCAATGGTTTGAACTATTTTAAGTTTCCTTTTCTGATTATAAAAGGAATACACATGCAGATTATCAGAAATTTAGAAAATACAGGAAAGTACAAATAAAAATACAAATCCTACATACCCAGATGTAATCATTGTTAATATCTTCTCACAGACGTCGTCTATAGAAATGCGTGATTTGGTCAGTTGTGGTGGCTCATGCCTGTAATCCCAACACTTTTGAGAGGCCAAAGCAGGAGGGTAACTTGATATCCAGGAGTTTGAGACCAGCCTGGGCAACACGGTGAATCTGAAAGCAATGAATGAAATGCTCTCAAGAGTGATTCACTTCCGGCCGGGCGCGGTGGCTCAAGCCTGTAATCCCAGCACTTTGGGAGGCCGAGGCGGGTGGATCACGAGGTCGAGAGATTGAGACCATCCTGGTCAACATGGTGAAACCCCGTCTCTACTAAAAATACAAAAAATTAGCTGGGCATGGTGGCACGTGCCTGTAATCCCAGCTACTCAGGAGGCTGAGGCAGGGGAATTGCCTGAGCCCAGGAGGCAGAGGTTGCGGTGAGCCGAGATCGTGCCATGGATTCACTTCCTCTTGGCCAAAGATAGGCTTGCAAATGAAATAGATGCTTCAGCTATAGACCAGCCTAAGATATCCACATTTCTACTCTGGGCCACCAAGCAAAAGATTATAACCGAGCCTAGTACCCCTAGTACTCCTGGAAACATTTTGGAACTCTCCTGTTGTGAGCTCTGGAGAGCTGTTGGGATAGATCAGACAATGTGACCCCATGTGTTAAATCCTAGAAGACGGGGAAATTGGCTAGCAGCACAACATAACAATGCAGGGCTCAAACTCAGGTCTCAAAGACCCAGCCTCAAGTCCAGCTCCATCTCTTTGGATGAATTCTATGGCCTTTCTGTGCTTACGTTCTTTTTATCATTTATTTTACAAAATGGAGAGAATACTGTACAGTCTTTCTGTGAGGTTCACTGAGATGACGCCCTTAGGCTAGACCTCTGATAGCATGGAATTCTCAGCAATTAGGTACCGAGTTCCTCCAGGTGCGAGGAAGGCATGCCCAGCGGGTGAGGCATTGCTTCTAGGCAGCACGCCACCTGCTACTCGCAAGTGAAAATGATATCCTTAATTTACATGATAGAGCTGATCCTTAAAAAGCTGTGCATAATTGTAAGGAATAGAGAGAAATCTAGTTTGAAGGACAATGAAAATAGAATTTGCCCATTTAGTAGTATCTACGGGGCGGGCGAGAGCTACCACTGAACCAGTAGGACCTACAATGGTCTCTTTGTGCCATCCAGTGGACAGTAAGGGAAACGCCATGATTTTGTCTTCAAAGTCTATCATTTACCAAAAATATGTATGCTGGTGAGAATAATCTCAGTTTACTACTAGGTTCACTTGTTAATAAATTTCATTCCATTTGTTTAAGCAAAATTTTAAAAACCACACCAGTAGATCTTGACTGGGACCAGAGTCATTCCATTCATTTTCCAAGAATGCAACTATCACTTAAAATTTTGTTATAATCAGCTGGGCACGGTGGCTCACACCTATAATCCCAGCACTTTGGGAGGCCGAGGCGGGTAGATCTCCTGAGGTCAGGAGTTTGAGACCAGCCTGACCAATATGGTGAAACCCTGTCTCTACTAAGAAGACAACAGTTAGCAGGGTGTAGTGGTGCATGTGTGTAATTCCTGCTACTCGGGAGGCTGAGGCAGGAGAATTGCTTGAACCTGGGAGGTGGTTACAGTCAGCCAAGATCACACCACTGCACTCCAGCCCGGGCAACGAAGCGAGACTCCATCTTAAAAAAAAAAAAGAAAGAAAGAAAAGAAAAGAAAAGTTTTGCTATAATCAGATTTAATACTTGTCAAGAACCTGTGTGTTTGGCAATGTTTTTTCTGAGGGGTGTAGCGGTGTAGGGGTGTGTGGGTGTGTGGGTGTGCTCTGTTTCTTTTTAAAGCCTTTGATTATCTTTATGTTTCCTTCCCTGAGTGTTTTTGAGGACAAGACAATGGAAGGACAAACCTCCCCCTGCTGTAAGTGATAATAGCATACCCCGAGTGCCCCGAGCTGCTTTGAGCCCCATCTTTAGTATTATTGTAATTGCTGTGAACAATAATCATCACAAGTACTATCTGTTGAATTCCCATGATGTACCAGGCATTTTTCTTTATCAGAAGATTTGTTAATCCTCATACCAAGACTGCAAAATTGATGTCATTATCTCCATTTTAGAGATAAGGAAGCTGATGCTCAGCGAGCTTAAGTGATACACCCAAGATCACACAGCTAGTGAGTGACGGAGGAAATCGGGTCTGACGAACTCCAGAGCCCCCTCGTGCCGCGGGGCCATGGGCCTCTCAGTTGTTCCCTCATGCCCGGGACTGGCCAGACCCTGAGTCTGAGATGTTGGGGTCCCCTCAGTGCTGCCAGCTCCTCAGTGCCTAAGACTCTTAGGACCACAGAGCCCGCGGCCAGTGAATCCAGCAGGGGATTAAATATGCAGATGATGTAAGGCAGCAAAAGTCAGCCCAGGGGCCGGGCACCATGGCTCACACCTGTAATCCCAGCACTGTGAGATACAGAGGCGGGCAGATCAGTTGAGCTCAGGAGTTCGAGACCAACCTGGCCAACATGCTGAAACTCCATCTCTACTAAAAAATTAGTAGAGACCATCTCTTCAAAAACTAGCTGGGTGTGGTGGCCTGTGCCTGTGGTCCCAGCTACTCAGGAGGCTGATGTGGGAGGATCAGTTCAACCCAGGAAGTCAAGGCTGCAGTGAGCCATGATCACACCACTGCACTCCAGCCTGGGGGACAAGCCAGACCCTGTCTCCAAAATAAATAGATGAAAAGGGGCTGGGACTGGAAGGCCTGGGTGAGGAAGAGGACATGGTCTCTAGGAGTCAGGACGCCCTGGTCCTGGCCCTCACTCAGCCCTCACAGGGTATTGAGCCAGTCCCCACTGTGCCCACAGCCTGGTGGTCAATCTCTGTCCCTGGTGGGGCCCCGGGAGCCCCACTTTCCTCCCCATTGAACCAGGGGCTCTGCCTGCAGGATGTTCTCTAAGGTTTTCTGGTTCTGAGAATTCTGGGTTTCTCCCAGAGCCCTGGGGGATACCTGGTGAATAGGTTACTGTCTCTGCTGCCAGGAACCCAGGCCCGGGGGGAGACAGGCATGGGCACACCCCGAGCAGCTGCAGTTTCTCTCCAGAGAGACTTGCCACCCACGGGCCTGGATGAGACTCCCCCACCTTCGCAGCCCCCTCCTGCTGTCTCCGAGGACAGGACAGCATAGGATGGGGTGGGACAGACAAGGACGTCACACACTGAGAGGGTGAATATTGTTCCGCGCTTGAGTTTGGATCGTGTCAATGTATTTCTGCGTGTCTGCTGTGTTGGGGGTACAGTTCGCATCTCCCTGAGGCTGCACTCTCAAGAGTGTGGAATACCTGGCTTGTGAGCCGTGTGACGCAGAGACTGCATCTCACGCAGAGCGGGGGTAAAGAGCAGGAGTGCTGTAGAATCCAGCTGCCCTGCCACAGGCCCAGAGGACTTGGCCAAGTGAACATTGCTGTCTGTTTCCCTAACCGTAAAGGGGGCCCAGCCCCTGGCAGGGTTGTGACAAACGCCTAACATCCCACCAGGAACCGGGCAGTTGCTCAGTATTTGGCAGGAGCTGCTGTTCCTCACAGTGTCCAACACCGCCCTGGGGATGTAACGGGTGCGCCATGGACAAGACTGATGGGTTAATCAGTTCACTGCGGAGAGGGGCAGGATGGATGCTCTTGCTTGTTCCTCTGGTTTTCCCTTATGGGGAGCAGCGGCACTTGGCAGAGGCTGCCAGGGAGATGGGAAACGGACATTAATTAGGGGAGAGAAAAGGAGGCAAGGAGGGGAGGGTGGGAAAGAGACAGGGGAGGAAGAAGGGAAGGAGGCATGGTTAGAAGACTGGCAAACATGGGCCGGGCACAGTGGCTTACGTCTGTAATCCCAGCACTTTGGGAGGCTGAGGTGGGAGGATCACCTGAGGTCAGGAGTTCGAGACCGGCCTGACCAATATCAAGAAACCTCATCTCTTAAAAAAAAAAGACTAGCAAACACAAAAACCAATGACTGTTTTCTCAGAGCTGAGAACAGGAAGGTAAGGCCATAAATAGCATGTGGATGCTTCTCAGCGCTGGAAAGGCAGCCTGGAGATCATAGACCTCTTCACAGCCCAGCGAAGTGCAGGGCTTGGGAAAGCAAGCGTTAGAGATGGGGAGGGCCGTGCCTGCCACAAGCACTGCCTGCCAAACCCTGCCATGGGTGGAGGGGCTGTGCTTCCACCTCACAGAGGCCCCTTCTTCCCTTTCTCTCCCCAAGGCTGCTCCAGCGGCGCTTTTAGCTCCATGGACACCTTTGAAGGCTGTGAAGGTGCAGAAGGCATGGAAAAGGAGAGCAGCGCTCTAAGCGTAATTTACCTCCTTGTTTCTTTCATCTCCTCCCTCCTTCCTATTCATCAGCTCCTCCTGCCTCCTGTCCCTCGCCTCCATCCCACTCCTGATCCTCAGGATTCTCGCCCAGAAGGGCCTGGCTAAGCCAAAGAGCCGAGGTCACTAGACCCTCAAAGTGGCCCTGACCCTCCCGGCCCTGCCTCCTTGGCGGTGCGCTGTTGTGCGGCCATCAATGGGGCTCCTGCTGGGAACCCCGTGGTCCAGGTGGGAGGGCTGGGCTGGGCGCACCCTCCTGCCAGCGGGAGTCACCACCTTGCCCGGCCTGGCCACAGCCTCCAGCAATAACTCTGCGGGTGCACCCGCCCCTCCCTTCCAGCTCGCCGGCCTTTTCCAGTCGGACGACAGGCAAGAAACCTGTTCCTCCAAATCCGCTTTCCTGGAGAGGGGAGAAAGCACCCGGGGAGAAACGAGAGCGCGGTGCGGAGAAGCGTGAGTGTGAGCGAGGCCGGCCGAGCGCCTCCGCGGGCCACAGCGTCTCGGACTTTCTTCTGGGAATTGCAGGGCGGCCGGCGGCACCGAGGAGGAGAGCTCTGCGGCGTCCAGGGGCCGGCTGGCGCCTGCGACCTCCGCCCGGGAGAGGAATGCCCGGAGCCGCCTCCCGAGAGCCCGAGGGGTGCCCTGGCTGCGCACCCAGCTCCGCGCCCACCGCCCCCTCGCGCTCTGACACCGGGGCCGGGCAGTTCTTGGCTGTGGGGGCTTCTCTGCGCCCCACCTGGAGGATGTTTAGCAGCGTCCCCGGCCTCTATCCAGCAGGTGCCGGGAATGCGCCACCCCGTCCTCCACCGCACCCTCCCGCCCAAAATGTGACAATCAAAAATCCCTTCAGACGAGCCCCGTTTCTCTAGGGCAGGTGGGGCTCGGTTGAGAACCGTTTAGCCCGAGCCCTGGAGCAGCCGCAGCCGCTCAGTCCGGGCCCTCCCGGAATCCCCGCCGGTGCTCGTGGGCTGTTCGCGTTTGTTCCAAGACTGCTTCGTTGCAGAGAGAGTTGGTTCCACGTTACTTTCTGAGCTAATTATGTACCAATTTATTTGTTTCTAAATGAGTTTTGTTATTTTCTGTTGTATTTTGTTTTTGCTTTTCTTAGTTAATTTTCATTTACTTGTAGCTTTCTGGTTATTTAATTGTATAGTTTCCGTTACTGGTTTATAGTTACTTTATTTTCAAAGTTATTTAGTTTTTGAGTTGTTCATTTTCAGTTATTTGTGTGTAGTTATTTTGTTTTAGGAGTTACAGACGTTCAAATTAATTTGCTTGGAATTTATTTATATTTATCTTTACAATTATTATCCGAGTTATTTACCTTCATGGTTATTTCCCTTTAACTTATTGGAGTTTTTGAGGTATTTATTTTTACGGTAACTTATTTGACTATTATAAACTCACTGGACGTTTAAGAACTACTGTAGTTATTTATTTTCAGTAAACCGTTTTAATTAAGGGATTTCCCCTTAGTTACTTGGTTTAAAGTTGCTTATGTTTTACAGGTTTTTTTTTTTCCAGTTATTTTAGATTCGAGTTATTTTTATTATTTTCTCAAGTTATTTGGTTTATAGTTATTTTAGCATTACTTCATATTTGAACATTATATTTTCTTAATTTTTAGAGTTTTTGAGATATTTAGTTTTTGAGTTATTTTCAGTTTATTCTCATTTATTTTCAATTTTTTATTTGCCATTTAAATATTTTTTCTGTTCTTTATTTTTATCTATTTCATTTTCAGATTTTTTTTTCTTTTTTTTTTTTTTTAGAGACAGAGTCTGGCTTTGTCATCCAGGCTAGAGTGCAGTGGCATGATCACAGCTCACTTCAGTCTCGACCTCCCAGGCTCAAGCAATCCTCCTCCTTCAGGAACAGAACACAAATTTCTAATCTCATGGCTGCTATTTCACAATGTCCTGGATGTTTGAGCCTAAACAAAAGGCTTTTCAACAAGAAAATATATTAAAACATCCAAATTGGAAAGTTAAAACTCTATTCTGGGCACAGTGGCTCATGCCTATAATTCCAGCACTTTGGGAGGCCGAGGCGAGAGGCTTACCAGAGGTTGGAAGTTCGAGACCAGCCTGACCAATATGGAGAAACCCCATCTCTACTAAAAATACAAAATTAGCCAGGCATGGCTAATTACAGGCATGGTGGCACATGCCTGTAATCCCAGCTACTCAGGAGGCTGAGGCAGGAGAATTGCCTGAACCCACGAGGCAGAGGTTGCAGTGAGCTGAGATTGCACCGTTGCACTCCAGCCTGGGCAACAAGAGAAAAACTCCATCTCAAAAGAAAACTGTCTTTATTCATGGACGTGATAGACTATATAGAAAATCCAATGGAGTTTACCAAGAAAAATTACTAGAACTAAAAAGTGAGTTTAGCAAGATTGCAGGATATGAGATTAGCATACAAAAATAAATGGTATTTATACATGTACAGTCATGCACCACGTAACCATATTTCAGTCAATGACCATATGTGTAATGGTGGTCCGATATGATTATAATGGGACTGAAAATTTTCTATCAGCTACTGATGTTGTAGCTGTCATAATGTCGAGGTGGAGGGCATCACTCAGGAGCTTGTGGTGAGAAACTACGATTATAGTGCCAGTTGTATAAAAGTATAGCACATACAATTACGTACAATACATAATACTTGATCATGATAAACAACTACATTACTGGTGTATATATTTTCTATATTATGTTTTGTCATGACTTTGAGTGTATTCCTCCTACTTTTAAAAAAAATTAACTGTAAAACACTCTCAGGAAGGTCCTTCAGGAGATAATCTGGAAGAAGGCATTCTTATCACAGGAGATGACCACTCTGTGGGTATTATTGCCCCTGAAGACCTTCCAGTGGGACAAGATGTACAGGTGGAAGACAGAGAACTGATGATCCTGATGCCCTGTAGGAGGCTTAGACATATGTGTGTGTGTGTGTGTGTGTGTGTGTGTGTAACAGCAACAAAAAAAAGTTTTGAAAGTTTTAAAAAATTGTTAAAATAGAAAAAAACTTACAGAATATAGAGAAAGAAAATATTTTTATACAGCCATAAAATGTGTTTGTCTTTTAAGCTGTGTTGTTATAAAATTAGCTGAGCACAGTGGCTCATGCCTGTAATCCCAGTACTTTGGGAGGCTGTGGCAGGCGAATCATGAGGAAAGGAGATTGAGACCACCCTGACTAACACAGTAAAACCTTGTCTCTACCTAAAATACAAAAAATTAGCCAGGCATGGTGGCACACGCCTGTAATCCCAGCTACTCGGGAGGCTGAGGCAGGAGAATGGCTTGAACCTGGGAGGCAGAGGTCGCAGTGAGCCGAGATCACACCACTGCACTCCAGCCTGGACAAGAACAAAACTCTGTCTCAAAAGAAATTTTTAAAATAGCATCAAAAACGTGAAATACTTAGGGCAAAACTCAAAACAATAGTTAAGTAATCTGGAAAAAAATACTGAAGACCTAAATAAAGGGAGAGATATACCATATTTATCACCAGAAGACTCAATATTGTTGCCATGTCAAATCTTCTTGAATTTACATACAGATCTAATGCAATCCTAATCAAAATCTCAGTTGGATTTTTGGTAGAAATTGGCAAAATGATTCTAAAATTAATAAGGAAATGCAGAGAACTTAGAATAGCCAAAACAATGCTGAAGAAGAACGAGATTGGAGGGCCAACCACCATGAAGTCATCTTCTTTGAATATCCCATTCCTCATCTAGGGCGGCTCTGAGCAACAAATAGCCCATCAATCACTCTCTCCATATTGTTGTATATTAATAAATGTCTCTCAACGAGGCAGTAAGCAACTTAAAAGCATATTATATTCTAGTCACAAACACCTTTTCAGAAGTAAGGCATAGTGCTTAAAATGACAGGATTCATGGCCCCATTTCTGTATTTATTATCTAACTGACTCTGGCAACTCCCTTCTCTGTGGTTAGTTTCTCCATCTGCGATCTGGGGCAGCGATAATAACAACAGTGTCCGCAGAGTGCCTATGGCGCTTAAACGAAATAAGAGTGCCTGGCACACACTATATATCTACTTAATGATTGTCTTTTGAATAAACTGACTCAAAGATCAGAAAGCAGGAAGTTACTGAAATTAGGTTGATTGGCCCAGGTTAACCTCACTTTTCACTATAAAGATTCCATTCTGAAACACTACAAGCTTTGGTTAAATTTACTTGATTAGAGTGTTTGGAGCAACGTAGTAAGATAAAATAGTTGTAGTCAAAGTGATTTTTTTTAGAAAATGATTTGAGACTAGACTGAAAGCCCTCAATCTAGCGTTAAGGAGCATCTCCTAATATACTGTCTAAATGTGTATTCCCCACTGGGACTCAAGCCCGGACAGATAGTCCAATAAGACATTAAAAGGTTGCCTGTCAACGATATTGAGGTTTGGGCCATGGCTCACGCCTGTAATCCCAGTGACTAACTCGGGAAGATCGGTTGAGGCCAGGAACTCAAGACCAGCCTGGGCAACACAGCAAGACGACCTCTCTACATAAAATAGCCGGGCATGGTGGCATGCACCTGTGGTCCCAGCTACTCCAGAGGCTGAGGTGGGAGAATCGCTTGAGGCCAGGAGGTTGAAGTTGCAGGGAGCCAAGATCAAGCCACTGCACTCCAACCTGGGTGATGGAGTGAAACCCTGACTCAAAAAATAAATAAGTAAATAAAATAAAGATATTGAGTGTTTCCTGTTTCCGGAATTTCTGGTTTGTAAAACCACCTGGGGCCGGGCACAGTGGCTCAGGCCTGTAATCCCAGCTCCTTGGGAGGCTGCAGCAGGCGGGTCACCTGAGGTCAGGAGTTCAAGACCAGCCTGGCCAACATGGTGAAACCCCATCTCTACTTAAAAAATAAAAATAAAAATAGCTGGGCGTGGTGGTGGCAGGTGCCTGTAGTCCCAGCCACTTGGGAGGCTGAGGCAGAAGAATCGCTTCAACGTGGGAGGTGGAGAGATGGCGCCATTGCACTCCAGCCTGGGAGACAGAGGGAGACCCTGTCTCAACAGACACACCCCTAGGAGTGGGTATTATTATGGCAGAAGAAACCAAGGCTCTGAGAGGTTCCCGACGGGGAGTCGGCGCGCGGTGGGGGCGGGAGCGGCTCTGGGCTGTGCTCCTGCGCTACCCGCAGCCCGCGGTCCCAGCGAGGCCTGGGCGTGGAGAGCGGCAGCCGCAGACCCCCGGGAAGACAGGGATTCGGGGTCCTCAGGGGACCCCCGGGAAGACAGGGATTCGGGGTCCTCAGGGGTTTTTAGGCTCCTGCTCGCCTAGTGACCGAGGGGCTGGCCTTCTCCAGGCCAAGAAGTGTCTCCGGGTTCCCAGAAAGGTACCTGACCGGTTAGAAAAGAGGAGACTCAGCGGGGCGCAGTGGCTCATGCCTGTAATCTCAGCACTTCGGGAGGCCGCGGCGGGCTGATCACGAGGTCAGCAGTTCGAGACCAGCCTGACCAACTTGGAGAAACCCCGATTCTACTAAAAATACAAAATTAGCCGAGCGTGGTGGCGGGTGCCTGTAATCCCAGCTGCTCAGGAGCCTGAGGCAGGAGAATCGCTTGAACCCGGCAGGCGGAGGTTGCAGTGAGCCGAGATCAAACCATTGCACTCCAGCCTGGGTGACAGAGCGAGACTCCATCACAACCCGAAAAAGGGGAAGGAAGGGGAGGGGGAAGAAGAGGAAGGGGAAGGGAAAGAAGGGGAAGGGGAGGCGGAAGGGGAAGAGGAAGCGGAAGGGGAAGCGAGACCGAGGGATGAGTGGAAGAGGCCGGCGCTGCCCGGGCCCCGCGCGTGAAGGAAACGGCCCCGAGGCCCCGCCGGTCCCGCCCCGAGAGGAAGGAGGCGCCTGCGCTCCCGCGGGGGCCGGCGGACTTTCCTCCCCGCCCAGCGCCCGGGGCGGGCTTTTCGGCTGCTCCTCTTAAGCGGGCGGCTTCGGGTCTCCGGGACAGGTGGGTGCGGAGCGCAGCCGCGTCGTCCTGGGCGTTCGGGGCCTGCCCGGACCCCGCCGCGCGCCCGCGATGTCCCGGCAGCTCCGCGCGGCGGCCGCGGTCCTGGCGTCCCTGGCGGGTGAGTGGCGCGGGGCTTCCCGCGGTGGCCCGGCCGGGTCGGTCTCCTTCATCTAACGCGCCCTGGAGCCCCCGGCGCTACCGGACGGCCCGCGGGTGCGGACACGGGGCGCGACTAAGGGCGTCCCGGCTTGACCCTGTTTTCCGTGAGTTACTCAGAGCAGGTGTCAACGCCAAAGACAGTGACATTGTCCCTGGCTCCCAACAGGGTTCTGGGCGCCTTCTCAGGGGTTGGATTTAAGAGACGGAGACCTGAGCCAGCGCTTAGGAATGGGGGTCTTGGCTTTGGTGCCCGGGAAAAGCGGTCCTGACATGCCTTCCTCTGCATCAGATGGGGTCTGTCAGATTGTGCCATTTCAGAAAGGTGTGGGACAGAGTCTCAAAGACTTTTTTTAAATTTTATTTTTATTTATTTTGTTACTATTATTATTATTTTGAGACAGAGTCTCACTCTGTTGCCCAGGCTGGAATGCAATGCTGTGGTCTCAGCTCACTGCAACCTCTGCCTCCTGGGTTTAAGCAGTTCTCCTGCCTCAGCCTCCCGAGCAGCTGTCGGGACCATAGGCGTGCACCACCACACCTGGCCCCCCTTTTTTTTTTTTTTTTTTTTTTTTTTGGAGTATTTTTTAGTAGAGTCAGGGTTTCACTGTGTTGGATACGCTGGTCTCGAACCCTTGACCTCAGGTGATCCACCTGCTTCGGCCTCCCAAAGTGCTGGGATTACAGGCTTGTGCCATTTTGCCCAGGTTTTTGTTTTTTTGTTTTGTTTTGTTTTGTTTTTTTGAGACGGAGTTTCGCTCTTGTTACCCAGGCTGGAGTGCAATGGCACGATCTCGGCTCACTGCAACCTCCGCCTCCTGCGTTCAGGCAATTCTCCTGCCTCAGCCTCCTGAGTAGCTGGGATTACAGGCACGCACCACCATGCCCAGCTAATTTTTTGTATTTTTAGTAGAGACGGGTTTTCACCATGTTGACCAGGATGGTCTCGATCTCTTGACCTCGTGATCCAACCGCCTTGGCCTCCCAAAGTGCTGGGATTACAGGCTTGAGCCACCGCACCCGGCTTTTTTTTTTTTTTTTTTAAATGATCATCGTACTTCCCATGCCAGATGCTGTCTGAGACGCTGAGTTTTCGATTATTTTATGTTCCGACCCTCCGCTTTCACCAGAGCTTGTCCCCTTAGACGTTGAGTCCTCCTGGGTGCTGTGGTTCTGTTCCTGTGAGGAGGTTTACTAGTCATGAGAGAGCTGCCTCCATCCGCACCGCCCAGCTAACTGGCTCAAGCAGGGTGTGCGGTGGCCCTTGCTTGTAACATGAATGCCAGGGATGTTACGGAAGCGCTGGGAAGGGTCATGCCAGCTGTCCTCACTGAGGCAGTTCCCCCTGTGCCACACTTTCAGACTTACAGTTTCAGATTCTCTTAGGAAACAGAAGAGGAAGTCATCACTACGCTTCACAGGGCAAGCTATTAAACAAGCAGAAAATCTCAGCCTAGACACTGACCTGTCTATGAGCGCTGGTTGAATGGATGGATAGGTTCAGAAACAATTATATAGACAGGCCAGGTGTGGTGGCTCAGCCTGCAATCCCAGCACTTTGGGAAGCCAAGGCGGGTGGATCACTTGAGGTCAGGAGTTCAAGACCAGCCTCGCCAACATGGTGAAACCATGTCTCTACTAAAAATACAAAAATTAGTTGGGCATATAATTCCCAGCTACTTGGGAGGCTGAGGCAGGAGAATTGCTTGAACCCAGGAGGCGGAGGTTGCAGTGAGCCGAGATTGTGCCAGTGCACCCCAACCTGGGTGAGAGAGTGAGACTCTGTCTCAATAAATAAATAAATAAATAAAAACACAGTGAGTATTGACACATGCAAGGGCAAGTGGAGGGACAACGCCCACATTCTCCTTTCCTTTCTGAGCTACAAGTTCTCAGAGGTGAGCTGGGTGAAGGGTGCATGAGACGTTTCTTCCTCAGAGGTGTGCTGGGTCCCAAGGCAAGTCAGTGTTGCATGGCCATCGTGGGGTCTCACGGAACTGCATTCGAACCCTTGCCCTGACCCTTACTGGCAGGGAGGGCTTGTTCATATCACCCAGGCTTTCGGGTGCTCAGTTCTCTCCCTGAAAAATGGGGAGAATAATATCCTCTGCCAGGAGTATTCGGGAAACAAATGAGATGGCGCCTGGAAAACACCTCCTGCAGTGACTTTCTGAGTGATGTCACCCGCTTCTCCTGTGTGTCTCTCCAGTCCCTCCCCCCCGTTCACCTCTCAGCCTCCTGCCCGTGAGTGCCTTCTTCACTCAGTACAGGCTCACCAGCACACAGTCATAACAATGATGGCCATGGCTGACTGGCACTTCCTCGGTGCCAGGCTCTGTTCTAAGTGCTTTCATCCACAAAACAGCTTTGTAAGTTCTGCTAGTATCTCCATTTGACTTGTGAGGAAACAGAAGCACGAAGAGGTTAAATAACTTGCCCATGATCACATAGCTAGCTAGTGACAGAGTCAAGCTTCAAACCAGAGTCTGTGTCCACAGCAGCTAGCCTGTGTGCTTTATTCATACATCTACTTACCTATAACTTATTTAGTCTCATAAGAACCCTGAGAAGTAGATGCTATTCTTATCCCCATTTTACAGATGAGGGTACTGAGGCAGAGGCAGGTTAGGGAATTGCTCATGGTCTCCCAGTTAGTGAGTAGCATTTCTTGATCAGCATTCAAGACGTCTGGCTTTGGCTGGGTGCAGTGACTCAGGCCTGTAATCTCAGCACTTTGGGACCCTGAGGCGGAAGGTCGCTTGAGGCCGGGAGTTTGAGACCAACCTGGACAACATGGTAGACTGTGTCTCAAGCAAAACAAAACAAAAACCAAATCTGGCCTTGGGGTTCAGGCTCTATACTATTGCGCCACGGGGCCCTGCATGTGTAGGCTCCAGAAATACTTGTTAAATTGGAAATGAGCAAAAATCATCAGAAAGTTGTTTTGGGTTTTTTTGTTTTGTTTTTTGAGATGGAGTTTCGCTCTTGTTGCCCAGGCTGGAGCGCAGTGACGCGATCTTGGCTCACTGCAACCTTTGCCTCCCGGGCTCAAGCGATTCTCCTGCCTCAGCCTCTTGAGTAGCTGGGACTACAGATACCCACCACCAAGCCTGGCTAATTTTGTATTTTTAGTAGAGATGGGGTTTCTCCATGTTGGTCAGGCTGGTCTCGAACTCCCGACCTCAGGTGATCCACCCGCCTTGGCCTCCCAAAGTGCTGGGATTACAGGAATGAGCCACCATGCCCAGCCAAATCATCAGAAAGTTTTGCTAGGAGAGACAGAGCTTTTGGGTAAACTCTCTGAGTAATCTTTATCCAGTTAACTTGCTTCCCTGATCTCAAATTTTTCCCCCAGAAAATGAGTGGATTTAAGTTCATATCAGTTAAGTGTAGGTTCAGTTACATGTAAGAGACAAGCCCAGAATAACAGTAGATTAAACAAGATAGTTGCTTGTTATGCTCTCACATGAAAACATGTCCAGAGAAATTCAGGTCCGTTCCAGTGTGGGGGTGCTCCACTGGGACCCGCCTTCCTATATATGAGTGTGGGTGTGCTCCACTGGGGACCCGCCATCCTATATGTGAGTGTGGGGGTGCTCCACTGGGGGCCCGTCATCCTATATGTGAGTGTGGGAGTGCTCCACTGGGGGCCCGTCATCCTATATGTGAGTGTGGGGGTGCTCCACTGGGGACCCAGCATCCTATATGTGAGTGTGGAGGTGCTCCACTGGGGGCCCGTCATCCTATATGTGAGTGTGGGGGTGCTCCACTGGGGACCCAGCATCCTATATGTGAGTGTGGAGGTGCTCCACTGGGGGCCCGTCATCCTATATGTGAGTGTGGGGGTGCTCCACTGGGGACCCAGCATCCTATATGTGAGTGTGGGGGTGCTCCACTGGGGGCCCGTCATCCTATATGTGAGTATTGGGGTGCTCCACTGGAGGCCCGTCATCCTATATGTGAGTGTGGGAGTGCTCCACTGGGGACCCAGCATCCTCTATGTGAGTGTAGGGGTGCTCCACTGGGACCCGCCATCCTATATGTGAGTGTGGGGGTGCTCCACTGGGGACCCGCCATCCTATATGTGAATGTGGGGGTGCTCCACTGGGACCCACCATCCTATATGTGAGTGTGGGGGTGCTCCACTGGGACCCACCATCCTATATGTGAGTGTGGGGGTGCTCCACTGGGGACCCGCCATCCTCTATGTGAGTGTGGGGGTGCTCCACTGGGACCCGCCATCCTATATGTGAGTGTGGGGGTGCTCCACTGGGACCCATCATCCTCTATGTGAGTGTGGGGGTGCTCCACTGGGACCCACCATCCTGTATGTGAGTGTGGGGGTGCTCCACTGGGGACCCGCCATCCTGTATGTGACTTCTACCCTCAAGGTCTCCTCATGGTTCCACACGTCTGCTGAAGCTCCGGCCGTCACATACAAGTTGCAGACTGGCCAAAGGAGGAAAACCAGAAGGGCCATAGAAGGCAGGCACACAGGTGCTTGGGCCACCTTCACCCAACCTTCCCAGAGGGCCCACAGGAGCTTATCACTTCTCTTGCTTTTGCTAAAAGTCACATGCTCCCACCCAGCCAGAAAGGAAGCTTAGACCTAGAGCTCTCTATTCCAGGCAGCCAGCACTCAGCAGAAGCTTGAGGTTCTGTTAGAAAGAAGGGGAGGCTGAATTTGGGAAGAGTTGGCCGGCAGCCTGTCTCGGGGCTAGAACCCTTTCTGCTCTAGGGTCTCCTCGGCTCTCTGCTGCACCCTGCTGGGGCCGCTTCTGCTGCCCGCATAGGTGCCAGAAAAGGTGCTGGGGGCTAAACTGTGATGTCCTGAACCTGGATGTGGCCGTGGCGGTGGGGCTCCGCAGAGCTCTGCGGACAAGAGTAGAGTCTCCGAGGCCTGCCAGGCCTGCTCCCTGCTGACCTCCCCTCCTCGCCCCTCTTTCCCCATACGGTCCCTGT